CAAATTTAGACTGATCAAGCAAATTTGTAGCAAAAGCAAATATTTACAAGATATACAATTTGCGGCAAATGATACATACGACCTTCAAAAAACCAGCAACAGGTAATAATAATAATAAATGAGCCTTTTATGATCACTTACATACTCACTAGCCATCTAAAACTCGCTCTCTTCTTCCTTCCCTCTCACTCTCTCTCGTTTTCTTTAGTATAGCTTAAGTTATAAGGATCAAGAGCAAAGGTAATTAGCACAATAATTCTTGGAACTAGCAGGTATATATACTAAATCTATTGTATGTTCTATAGTTAAAATGTAATATTTAAATTTTAGTATAAATACTCAAACTAAATTGAGAGAAGACATCAGTTCATTGGCATCTGTTCATCAAAACATTACAGCATTACAAATAATTGTGAAAAAGATTTATTTTAAAAACAAATTTTGTTATAAAAATATATATTTTTTAATAATTTTGTCTTTCTAAAAAGTTTTAAATTATACGACAAACCTTGTTCCGGTTTAATGATGTTTTTTCTTCTTCTAATGATCTAGTCATCACTGGGTGAAGTTTGTCTTATAATCATTAAAAACAACTCTACATTTTAGTCTTACTACAAAAAGAGTGCTAAGTGATAGTTTGGTGAGAGTGTGTGAGAGTGAAAAGAAAAAAAAAATAACAAACGGTTAACTGATCTTTAGTGGGATACAATTTGCTCAGTTTGTTGTTTAGTGTCAAGCGATCAACACTGGGCAAAGTGTGTCTCATTAAGGGTGAGAAGAGAAAAACATTAAAATATTTGAAATTTAAAAAAAAAAGTGTTGGAATTTCGGTGAATTTTAGAAAAAAATATTTTAAAATTAAATGGCGATTGTCGGTATAGTCTCTTTTCTATACAATATCAAGTGACTAGACCGAACACTCGTGCTATAATTTTAGAATAAACAACATTTTATAGTGAAAGAGAAACGCAAAAAAGTGATCGTGTTATAGTGAAAAAAAAACAATTAATTCCAGTGGTAGTTTAGGCTTTAGTGATGGTTACAAAACTCATAAAGCTAGACAACCATTGAAATTCGTTGTTTATTAACTCTTCTTTTTTTAAAAAAAGTGCAACATTTAATTCAAAAATTTCAAAAAATAACTGATCTTTTACAATCAAAGGAACGATCGTTGTGATATGAGTTTAATTCATTAACATATCACAGTGATTTTCCTTTATATTGCAAAGATTTCAAGCTTCAATCTAGTGTTAAAAAAAGTGTTTACTTTGTGCGCTTTTTAAATAGTTTCAAACTTTTTCAAGTCTAGAGATCAGTGGCTGTGAAATAGTCTCTTTTTTTTTGTCGTCTATATCACAGTGGCTGTTCTTTTTACTTTTAATAGTTAATCAACATATATTTATAATTAATAATTTTCCCTTTAATCGTATAATAATTTCCTTAATTATATTAATTAATTGTTTAATTAAAAAGAACTGTTGCTTGTGATGTAGTTTTATAACATTTCCTTTCATATGTAATATATCACAGTGGCTGTTCTTTTTAGTTTTACAATAAAACTCATCAGTACCTATAGTTAACTCTAGTGTTTGTTTCAAGTCTTCATTTTGTTTTTTTTCTAAAAATCTTAATCGTAACCTTGAAATTTTCCTAAATCTTAAGCAAGGCCTCAAAGATGATGCCTTTTTGTTTGTTCAAATTGAAGAGAGTACAGTTGCAGTGATGTATTAAAACATACAATAGTTTATATCACAGTGGCTGTTCTTTTTTGGGTTTAACAAAAACAACAATAACAATACACCATTCGGAAAATTAGTGTGAAACAAACAACGAAAAAAAGGAAAAACTAAATTCTGTGGAAAAAACTTTTATGATCTTTTGTATTCTATAAAACTCTATCTCTCTCTTGCTCTCTTTCATTCTCTTTCTAGGATTTTGAAAGAAGTTGCCACATGGTCATTTGTGTTTTAGAAGCCTTGCTCTCTTGTTACTTTTCTCTCTCTGTAGGATTTAAACAAAGTTGCCATATGTTTTAAGCTAAAGATCAAATGATCTTTTGGTTTCAACAAAAGGGTTTTTCTAAATAAAACAGTTTCAAAGAAGAATAAATTACGAATAATCGAATAATTTTTTTTTGGAATAATTGAGTAAAATAATCGAATGAAACTATTCGAATAACCGAATAAAATTATTCGAATAACCGAATAAAATTATTCGAATAATCGATTAAAATTATTCGAAAAATCGAATAAAATTACTTGAATAATTTAATAAATTTAAATAGCAATAAATTTGAATAATTAAAGAAAATTATACGGATAAAATTATACGAATAAAACTATGTATGTACATATGTATATGAATAAAAATTATTCGAATAATAGAATAACATTTTTCGAAAAATCTAATAAATTTGAATAGTAGAATGATATTATTTTAAATTATAACAATTATCAAATAATCGAAAAAATTATCTGAATAAAATTATACGAATAAAATTATTCGAATAATTAAATAACCTTTTTAAAAAAATCAAATAAATTTAAATATGTAGTCGAATGTTACTTTTTAAAAATATAACATTTTCCGAATAATCTTATTCGATTATTCGGATAAAATTATACGAAAAAAATTATTCGAATAATCAAATAAAATTTTTCAAAAAATCAAATAAATTTAAATTGTCGAATGATATTTTTTTAATATAAAAATTTTATGAATATGTAAAACAAAATTTTTCGAATATGTATTCGAATAAAATAACCGTATAAAATTACTGAAATATTCGAATAAAATTTTTGGAAAAATTTCAATAGTTGAATGATATTTTAAAATAATTGAAAAAATTTTCGAATAATCGTATAAAATTTTTTGATATCCGATTAAAATGTTTCGAATAATCGAATAAAATTATTAAAACAATAGAATAAAATTTTTCGAAAAATCGAATAAATTTCTTAGATGAATGATATTTTAAAATAATTAAAAAAAAATCGAAAAATCGTATAAAATTTTTAGAATATTCGAATAAAATTTTACGAATAATCGAATATAATTATTCGAATAGTAAAATAAATTACAATTTCTATAGTCGAAAGTTATTCCATAATATGCAAACAATTATTCGAATAATCGTATAAAACTTTTTGAATATCCGTATAAAATTTTTCAAATAATCGAATAAAATTATTTGAAAATCAAATAAATTTCGATAAACGAATGTTTTTTTTTTAATAATTAAACAAGTTTTCGAATAATCGCATAAAATAGTGTGAATAATCGAAAAATATTTTTCGAATATTCGAATAATATATTTCGAATAGCAAAATAAATTACAATTTCTATAGTTGAAAGATATTTCATAATAAGCAAACAATTATATGAATAAAATTTTTTGATAATATTATTCGAATAACCGAATAAAATTATTCGAAAAACCGAATAAAATTATTCGAATAAATTTTTTTCCAATTTTATTCAAATACATTTTTTCGAATTTCATTCGAATAAATTTTCCTCTTTTTCCATTTCTACCTTAATGTTTGTTGTACCACTACATGTCTTTGCCGCATTTACAAAATGTTCTCCATGTAAACATGACTTTTTAATCAAAATTTCTGTGTAAATCGCTAAAAACTGTGTTGCATGTTTTAAGTTGCAACTTTTTAAATGTAAGAAAACCTAGAAATGTAGAAAAAAAACTTTGTGTTAATGCAAGTACTTTTTTATTTGACAAGAAAACACATAAAAGTAAGGAATAAGAAAAGCAGCGGTGTGTTAAGATCTAAGGAGAAAAACGCCACAAAGTTTTAGTTAGTTCAAGTACTTTTTCAGTTCTAGTTGAGTTCTCCTTGAGTTCTAGTTAAATTCTAATTGAGTTCTAGTTGAGTTCTAGTTCACTTTTAGTTCAGTTCCAGTTCAGTTCTAGTTCAGTTCTATTTCAATTCTAGGTCAGTTCTATTTCAGTTCTAGGTCAGTTCTAGTTCAGTTCAGTTCTAGTTCAGTTCTAGTTCAGTTCTAGTTCAGTTCTAGTTCAGTTCTAGTTCAGTTCTAGTTCAGTTCTAGTTCAGTTCTAGTTCAGTTCTAGTTCAGTTCTAGTTCAGTTCTAGTTCAGTTCTAGTTCAGTTCTAGTTCAGTTCTAGTTCAGTTCTAGTTCAGTTCTAGTTCAGTTCTAGTTCAGTTCTAGTTCAGTTCTAGTTCAGTTCTAGTTCAGTTCTAGTTCAGTTCTAGTTCAGTTCTAGTTCAGTTCTAGTTCAGTTCTAGTTCAGTTCTAGTTCAGTTCTAGTTCAGTTCTAGTTCAGTCTAGTCAGTTCTAGTTCAGTTCTAGTTCAGTCTAGTTCAGTTCTAGTTCAGTTCTAGTTCAGTTCTAGTTCAGTTCTAGTTCAGTTCTAGTTCAGTTCTAGTTCAGTTCTAGTTCAGTTCTAGTTCAGTTCTAGTTCAGTTCAGTTCTAGTTCAGTTTAGTTCAGTTGAGTTCAGTTCGAGTTCAGTTCTAGTTCAGTTCTAGTTCAGTTCTAGTTCAGCTCTAGTTCAGTTTCTAGTTCAGTTCTAGTTCAGTTCTAGTTCAGTTCAAGTTCAGTTCAAGTTTAGTTCTAGTTCAGTTCTAGTTCAGTTCTAGTTCAGTTCTAGTTCAGTTCTAGTTCAGTTCTAGTTCCGTTCTAGTTCAGTTTCTAGTCAGTTCTAGTTCTAGTTCAGTTCTAGTTCAGTTCAGTTCAGTTCTAGGCAATACACTAGACTTACATAAGACTAGATTAGGAAAATGTGTATAATTTTTTATTTTATTTTTAACACGCCCCTGTTTTTATCACTTGTACTCTTTTATAATGCATTTGTGTAACGGTTGCATTTTATTTAAACTGCCTGTGTTTGTAATAAAATAAATGTCTAAAAGTATGCTATGAAATATTTAACAAATTGTTTTTAAAAGTTTATTTATTTTTTGGTTTGTTTACAAAAATATATCTTTTTCCTTTTTTTCGTTACAAAAAAGTAATTAAAACTAACAAAATAAACAAAAAAGAAACAAACAGAAAAAAGTGATAAAATTTTGTCATTTCAGCATAAAAATAAATGCATTATTCATAATATTTACTTACAACAACAAATAAACTTGCTTTACCAAGGAGCTCTTTAAAGACAAACTGAAGATTAATAAATAAAATTTACATATTTAATGGAAGGTATGTATGTATAGGTATATCCTTAAATTATCTTATTTATTATTATGTTTATGAAATATTTATTGATTTATTATTATCAAAAAAAGCTACATTATATTGCCAAAGTCTCTTTATAATATGAGTGAAGCGTGTCAAATTAGTAGAGAAGTGCGTGCGTGCGTGATATTGAACTCTCTATTCAATATTCGATATATTGAAAATTATTACGTGTATTTGCAAATATAATAAATATAAATTGTATTAGAAATAAAAACTTTTCCATATAGGAAATTAGTTATGTAGATAGATTGTTTTAAGGACTATGGAAAACAAAATTTTCATTTAGTATACTGTAGGTTTTCCATTCTGTATTTAGTTCTTGTTATTAAGTAAAAGTGCGCGTTATGTTTTTGAAGAAAATCTCCCGAGAACAAAGAACAAAAATTCGTTTACAGCGTAAAGAGAATCAACTAATTAGAGCCAGGGCCAAGGAAAGAAGTATGGAAGTAAATTTAGGAGTTATTCTAGAAAATGAAGAAATAATCAAAGAGTGCACAAAATTTGTCAACTAGACTGTAATCTAGTCTAGCGTGTATATAATCTAGTCTAGTATATAATCTGGACTATAGTCTAGTCTATAGTCTGGACTATAGTCTAGTCTACAGTCTGGACTATAGTCTAGTCTATAATCTGCACTATAGTCTAGTCTATAATCTATACTATTGTCTAGTCTATAGTCTGGACTATAGTCTAGTCTATAGTCTGGACTATAGTCTAGTCTATAGTCTGGACTATAGTCTAGTCTATAGTCTGGACTATAGTCTAGTCTATAGTCTGGACTATAGTCTAGTCTATAGTCTGGACTATAGTCTATAATCTGGACTATAATCTATAGTCTGGACTATAGTCTATAGTCTGGACTATAATCTACAGCCTGGACTATAGTCTAGTCTGTAATCTGTACTATGGTCTAGTCTACAGTCTGGACTATAGTCTAGTCTATAATCTAGTCTATAGTCTGGACTACAGTCTAGTCTATAGTGTGGACTATAGTCCAGCCTATAGTCTGGACTATAGTCTGCTCTATAGTCTGGACTATAGTCTAGTCTATAGTCTGGACTATAGTCTAGTCTATAATCTGGACAATAGTCTAGTCTATAATCTGGACTATAGTCTAGTCTATAGTCTGGACTATAGTCTAGTCTATAGTCTGGACTATAGTCTAGTCTATAGTCTGGACAATAGTCTAGTCTATAATCTGGACTATAGTCTAGTCTATAGTCTGGACTATAGTCTAGTCTATAGTCTGGACTATAGTCTAGTCTATAGTCTGGACTATAGTCTAGTCTATAGTCTGGACTATAGTCTAGTCTATAGTCTGGATTATAGTCTAGTCTATAGTCTGGACTATAGTCTAGTCTATAGTCTGGACTATAGTCTAGTCTACAGTCTGGACTATAGTCTAGTCTAAAGTCTGGACTATAGTCTAGTCTATAGTCTATTCTATAGTCTGAACTATAGTCTAGTCCATAATCTAGACTATAGTCTAGTCTATAGTCTGGACCACAGTCTAGTCTATAGTGTGGACTATAGTCCAGTCTATAGTATGGACTATAGTCTAGTCTATAGTCTGGACTATAGTCTAGTCTATAGTCTGGACTATAGTCTAGTCTATAGTCTGGACTATAGTCTAGTCTATAGTCTGGACTATAGTCTAGTCTATAGTCTGGACTATAGTCTAGTCTATAGTCTGGACTATAGTCTAGTCTATAGTCTGGACTATAGTCTAGTCTATAGTCTGGACTATAGTCTAGTCTATAGTCTGGACTATAGTCTAGTCTATAGTCTGGACTATAGTATAGTCTATAGTCTGGACTATAGTCTAGTCTATAGTCTGGACTATAGTCTATTCTATAGTCTGGACTATAGTCTATTCTATAGTCTGGACTATAGTCTATTCTATAGTCTGGACTATAGTCTATTCTGTAGTCTGGACTATAGTCTATTCTATAGTCTGGACTATAGTCTATTCTATAGTCTGGACTATAGTCTAGTCTATAGTCTGGACTATAGTCAAGTCTATAGTCTGGACTATAGTCTAGTCTATAGTCTGGACCATAGTCTGAACTATAGTCAGAACAATAGTCTAGTCTATGGTCTGAACTATACATAGTCTATAGTCTGAACTACATTCTATAGTCTGGACTATAATCTACTCTATTGTCTCGACTACATTCTATTATCCCGACTAAAGTCTAGTTTATTATCCCGACTAAGCATTTGTTTTTACCCACAGGCTTTGTCTATGTCGTCAATCCTCCCGAAATACCTCGCGTGGCCTTTGGTTCCTGTATGGAACGTGAAACTTTGCCTTTACGGGGACCCTGTTTAACTTCATTTATGCGCCAACATCAGGGAGATGTCTTTTTAAGTCCAGGACCCATGGCACGGGTAGATGAAAGAGATCATTTGGAAATTAAGGTATATTAAAGGAAATCTATTAAAAAGGTATTAATACATTAAAATGTCTTTAACAGTACCCCTCTAAACTGGGCTATAGTGCTTTTGCTAGTAAATTATTGCGCTTGCCAGCAACTGAGACCTCCAATAATCCCTGTGTGGGTACCTATGATGTGGATGTCAAGATACGAGAAAGAAAAGCTTTCAAGCCATTTAATGTGGGAGCAATAAGAGCTGAGTCCCCTAAATTTCTAACACCAGCGTAATAATGATGTCTATTTTAAAATTAAAATAAAGTAATTGAAGGTTATTTTCCTCCTTACAGACCCAACACCTATGCGCATCATATAAAACGCCCGCAACTACAAATAAACACCGCCTTTGGTAAACAACGTAAAATCTCTCCTCAGGTACAAACAATTTGTTCTCCCCTCAATACCGCCCATTGCCATAAATGTGAACAACAACCGCTTGGAGATTACTGGCATAATTTCGAAGAGGATTTAGATTTATGCCGTCTCTGTATGCATAAAATCGAACAGAAATTAAAAAGTTGCTCCTCCACCGAATTGCAGCGTTTACGTCTGCGACGTTTTTTGTTGCCCTATCGTTTGGTGCGCTATTGTGGTTTCTATCATGACCACAATGGCACAACTGCTGCCACACAATTAATAACGACTAAAATATTAAAATTTAAAATTAACAAGGAAAATTATTTGTCATTATATATGTGAGAATATAAAACTGTTAGTCGTCTGTCACTTATTTGGAATGCATCCTTCCTATGTCTTTCATTATAGTTTCAAATAAATTTTTTCCGTGATATTTTTGTTATTGTTGTCAATGATGTGCGTTGTTTATGTAGTCTGAGAGTGGGGGAAGGATTTAATAATATATTTTGACTCAAGTTTAGTCTAGTCTGATCGATTGTCCTGACTATAGTGTACTCGACTGTAATCTATTGTCTCAACTGCAGTTAAGATTCTTGTCTAGACTAAGTTTTGGCAATTGTCTCGACTAAGTTTCGTTAAATACCTTGACAATAGTCTTGACTATAGTCTGGTCTATTGTCTCGCCTGTGGTCTAGTCTATTGTGTCGAATATAGTCTTGTCTATTGTCTCGACTATAGTCTTATCTATTGTCTCAACTGTAATCTATTCTCTAGACTATACTGTCTAGTCTATTGTCCCGACTATAGTTTAGTCTAGAGAATAGACTAGACTATAGTCGGGACAATATAGTCTAGTCTTTTGTCTCTATTATAGCCTATAGTCGCGACTATAATCTAGTCTATGATCTAGTCTAGTCTGGCCTATAATCCGGTATATAGTCTCGACTATTTTCTGTTATCTTGTTTATAATCTAATCTATCGCCACTATTATAATCTAGTTCAAATTCTTAACTACAATCTTGTGCCCTAATTTATGCTCTCTCTATCTTTTATCCCCCTAATGTATGCTATATCCCCAAAAATACGAAATACAACTTTATGCTTAAATCCAAATAATAATTCCCTTTCTATTTTTAATGTAATTTTTCGTTGCCAAAGTTAACACTATTGTAGTGGTTGACTACGACAATAGAGTTTTTTTCTATATATATTATTTTAGTTTTCGGGAAATGCCTGTGGTCTAATAATGTGGTCGTTTGGAAGAAGGATGGGGGGAGAAGAGAGAAAAGTTTTATGTGTCATTATCATTGAGTGAGAGGTTACAATTTAATGAAATGTAAAATAGCAAATGATGTCGTCTGTGACTGCCATGTAGACTAAACTATTGCCGTAAAGTATGCAACACAGAAGAGAAACAACATCAGCTGAAAAGTATGCAACAGCAATAAAGAAGCTACACGCCACAGCCTGCATATGTTTTGGTAAATTAATGGTTATTGTGGTGTAAAGTGAGCGAGAAAACGTTTGCTTTTTTGGGTGAAGGAGAGAGAGAGAGAGGGAGCGAGGAGTTTTGGCTTCACATATTGTTCTCTAACACATGTAGTTTGTCACACATTCATACGTTTAAACAAGTTCAAAAACACGTTTTAGAACACAAACATATATTTTGTGCAAATGTTTTTTTAATGTTTGAGAACTATGGGTCGGAAAAACAATCTAATATATAACCTGGACTATAGTCTAGTTAATAGTCTGGACTATACTCTAGTCTTAAGTGTAGTCTATTGTCTGGACTATAGTCTAGTATATATACTGGACTATAGTCTAATATATATACTGGACTATAGTCTAATATATATACTGGACTATAGTCTAGTATATAGACTGGACTATAGTAAAGAATATAGACTGGACTATAGTCTAGCACTATAGTCTGGTCAATAGTCTGAACTATAATCTAGTCTATAGTCTCGACTATAGTATGGTCTATAGTCTGAACTATAATCTAGTCTATAGTCTAGACTATAGTATGGTCTATAGTCTGGACTATAGTATGGTCTATAGTTTGGAGTATAGCATGGTCTATAGTTTGGACTATAGCATGGTCTATAGTCTGGACTATAGTATGGTCTATTGTCTGGACTATAGTATGGTCTATAGTCTGGACTATAGTCTAGTCTATAGTCCGGACTATAGTCTAGTCTATACTATAGTCCGAACTATAGTCTAGTCTATACTATAGTCCGGACTATAGTCTAGTCTATAGTCTAGACTCTAGTCTAGTTTATAGTCTGGACTATAGACTAGTATATTCTGGACTATACTCTAGACTCTATCAAATCGCGTTTTATTGCAAATCATCCCATTGTGAATTCCTTAAGTGCTTAGTTTGGAGTGTGTGTGTGTGTACTTCGGTAATAGTACGAATAGCTGTGGTGATGATGGTGCTCTTGGCATTATTTAAGTATGTGTATGAGAGTTTATGTGTGTGTGTGAGTGTGTGTGAACATTTTACAGGTTGCAAATATTTCCTTTCATTCCTTCAGTCAGCTAAAACCGGCAACAAATGAGTTTTTGATGCGATTGTGCATAATAAATTCAAAAGTATTGTATGTGTGAGTGTGTGTTAGTTACATGCTGCCGTTTTCAAAACATTTTACATTTGTTGTATGTGGAAGTAAGTATATGTTGTTGTTATTTGGTTTGTTTTGGGGCAGGATAAACTTGGGTTGATTAAAAACAACAAGGAAATAACGAAAAATGTTTTATTATTGAGCAATTTTTTTTTCTGCTGCCTTGTTCGACGTTGTTGTTTGCTGTGTGTTTTTATTGTTGTTATCGTTGTCGTTGTTGTCAACAACAAAATGGCAAATTTACGTGTTATGTGAAGGAAGGAGAAAGTGAGTCGTCTTGTCTAATACTGGTCAATAGTATAGTCTAGTAAATGTATGTCTAGTCTATAGTAGAGTCTAGTGTATAGTCTAGTGTATACGTCTAGTCTAATTCTAGTATAGTCTAGTTATCTCTAGGTAAATATCTAGTCTTAGTCTAGTCTAGTTGGTCTATAGTCTAGTCATAGTCTAGTCTATGTCTAGTCTATGTCTATAGGTCTTATCTAGTCTATAGTCTAGTCTATAGTCTAGTCTATGTTAGTCTATAGTCTAGTCTATAGTCTAGTCTATAGCTAGCTATAGTTAGTCTATAGTTCTATAGTCTAGTCTATAGTAGTATATAGTTAGTCTATAGTCTAGTCATAGTAGTCTATGTCTAGTCTATTCGTCTATAGTCTAGGTCTATAGTCTAGTCTATAGTCTAGTCTATAGTCTAGTCTATAGTCTAGTCTAAGTCTAGTCTATAGTCTAGTCTATAGGCTAGTCTATAGTCTAGTCTATAGTCTATTCTAAAGTCTAGTCTATGTCTAAAGTCTAGTCTAGCCTATAGTCTAGTCTATAGTCTAGTCTAGCCTATAGTCTAGTCTATAGTCTAGTCTATAGTCTGTCTATAGTTAGTCTATAGTCTAGTCTATAGTCTAGTCTATAGTCTAGTCTATAGTCTAGTCTATAGTCTAGTCTATAGTCTAGTCATAGTCTAGTCTATAGTCTAGTCTATAGTCTAGTCTATAGTCTAGTCTATAGTCTAGTCTATAGTCTAGTCTATAGTCTAGTCTAGTCTAGTCTATAGTCTAGTCTATAGTCTAGTCTATAGTCTAGTCTATAGTCTAGTCTATAGTCTAGTCTATAGTCTAGTCTATAGTCTAGTCTATAGTCTAGTCTAGTCTATAGTCTAGTCTAGTCTATAGTCTAGTCTATAGTCTAGTCTATAGTCTAGTCTATAGTCTAGTCTATTGTCTAGTCTATAGTCTAGTCTATAGTCTAGTCTATAGTCTAGTCTATAGTCTAGTCTATAGTCTAGTCTATTGTCTAGTCTATAGTCTAGTCTATAGTCTAGTCTATAGTCTAGTCTATAGTCTAGTCTATAGTCTAGTCTATAGTCTAGTCTATAGTCTAGTCTATAGTCTAGTCTATAGTCTAGTCTATAGTCTAGTCTATCTAGTCTATAGTCTAGTCTATAGTCTAGTCTATAGTCTAGTCTATAGTCTAGTCTATAGTCTAGTCTATAGTCTAGTCTATAGTCTAGTCTATAGTCTAGTCTATAGTCTAGTCTATAGTCTAGTCTATAGTCTAGTCTATAGTCTAGTCTATAGTCTAGTCTATATTCTAGTCTATATTCTAGTCTATAGTCTAGTCTATAGTCTAGTCTATAGTCTAGTCTATAGTCTAGTCTATAGTCTAGTCTATAGTCTAGTCTATAGTCTAGTCTATAGGTCTAGTCTATAGTCTAGTCTATAGTCTAGTCTATAGTCTAGTCTATAGTCTAGTCTATAGTCTAGTCTATAGTCTAGTCTATAGTCTAGTCTATAGTCTAGTCTATAGTCTAGTCTATAGTCTAGTCTATAGTCTAGTCTATAGTCTAGTCTATAGTCTAGTCTATAGTCTAGTCTATAGTCTAGTCTATAGTCTAGTCTATAGTCTAGTCTATAGTCTATAGCCTAGTCTATGTTCTAGTCTACAGTTTAATAGTTTTATACTGTTTCGACTCTTGCCTTAGTCGCACCTCCAAATTGCCATTGGTCATTTTTCTCACGTATAAACTACACACATACATACATATGTATGTGTGTTTGTTTAAGTATTATTGTTTATGTAAATTCCTTTAAAGCATGTATAAGCAAGATCCAGTTAGCCATTTTTGTTGTTTTAGTTAGCGGAAACGGATGTGTTTGTTTTTAAAATAAAACCACAATAAAACGTAATTTTTTCTTGTTCCTTTGTTTTAAAAGCTCCACGCAAAAGGACTACGAATAAGCTACTGCCGTTGTTTTTGTTAATAAAATTAAAAGATACAATTGTTTCCACAATCTCTTGGGGATAGTGAAAAGATCAGGAAAAAAAACCCAACACAAACAAACTTGTGTATTAGCAACCAGGCATAAAAATAGCAATTGTTTGGAAAGAATAATCAAACTCAAGTTTAAATTGTGAGGAGGTTGTTTAAAGTTCAGTTAAAATACAGGGAAAGGAATAATTTGGTATTTAAGTACCAAACCATTATTTGCAACATGCATATTTTGATTTAAATCACCGATTTCATACAAATAGATTATTCCAATTTTTCATAACTATTTTTGAAATAAAAATGTTTGGTACCTTTTTAAATTATCCTACCATCTCTTCTAAAATTTGACAATTTGTCCATCCACTGACCCTTCAATCTGAGCGCTTGAGGTTGAATTTAAAACAAGAGATTTATATAAAATGTTTATGCAAGAAAATAAAACGGAAATACCAATTCAAATGAACAATTAAGTTTGTAACCATTGTTTTCTATTTTGTTTGTTTTCGTTTTGTTACTTTGCAT